GCGACATCCCACGGGCGCCCCGGCGGTCACGCGGCAGGGGACGACGGGGGAGAGCCTAGGGGCCCCAGCGCGGCCGCCGAAGGCGGGTGCAGGGGGGCGACTTCGCGCCGGCGGGCGCGGGGCCACAAGAACCCCAGAGCACGGGCGACCTGGAGGGCCGGGGGCGGGCCGCCGACCCCATGTCGGGCGCGCGCCAGGCGGTGTCGGGCGCGAAGCCAGGGCGGCCACCGGGGGGCACGGAGCACGGGGAAGCGAAGAGCGGAAGGCGACTAACGGTCGCAGTTCTAAGCAAAGAGAGTGCGCAGCATAGATAACAGTGACGACGAGAGCGACTAACGGTCGCGAGCTGTGTGAATGGCACGAACTGACGGCGGGCCGCCAGAGTGGATGCCCCAGGGAAGGGGGGGGCCAAGGGGCCTGCGTTTCGGGCCGGGGGGGCCCCCCTGCGGCCTGTCACGCTGGTGCGGAGCCAAGACGGCGAGGCTGCAGAGCAGACGAGGGCCCGAAAGAGAGGCCCCCGGCTGCGGAGCGACAGAGGAGCCCAAGCGCGCCGAGAGCGCAAGGCGGCCGGGCACGCGCCGCGGAGACCAGCCGCGGCAGTGACACGCAGCGAGCGCCCCAGTGGCCTCCCACGAGGAGACGAAGGAAACGCGCCGGGGGCCCCAGAGCTGCCGCCCCGGGCGAGGGCGCGGGGGGCGGCCCGACGCCAAGGAGCGGAGGGCCACAAAAGACCCAGGAGCAAGAGCGCCTTGGGGGCCGGGGGCGCGCCGCCAGCCCCAGCTGGGCGCGCGCCAGGCGGCATTGGGCGCGAAGCCAGGGCGGCCGCCAGGGGGCCGCCCGCGGGGCGGGCGCGGTGGCGGGCGGGCGAAATGGAGAGAGCCCGCCACCGGCCCATCGGCGGGCGGCGCGGCAGGGAGCCGGCGCCCGCGGGCGGTGAGTAGACAAGGCGGCGCGGCGACCAACGGTCGCAGGATGGGCAACCGCGAGGCGGAGCAACTAACGGCCGCGCGCCCAGGCAGGAGCGAGGAGCCCACAAGCACGAAGGGGGAGCTGTAGAGACGGCGGCGGTTGCCAAGAGGGTTTCCTGCCGCATCCAAGGCCAGCGCGCGCTCGCGGTCCGGCATGTAGCTCCCTGGTCTGCCTGCCGAGAGGTGCCGCCCGTCCGATAATTCATGCCCTTGCACTTGTTTGGGGCACCTTCCTTCTCCCCGATTCGCGAATTTGTCGCGGACGGCTGCCCTGTTGACCCGAAGCCGAAGGGCCCTGTCCTTAGTCATTGGGCTGCATTCATACTGACGCCAGGCCCGACGGAAGGCCTCACAGGAAGCGGGGTCCTGCTTGGAGGGATCTGCGCATGCGTTGCCAGTGCTGGCGGGGTGCGCGCGAGTCACCTGGTGCCAAATGCCGCTAAAGTAGTCCCCAAGCTCTCTCTGCAGGCGCTTCACTGCCGCGGCGTGGCCCTCGCCACCGATGGGGGAGAGTTGAACCTCCTCCAGCGGGGCCACGCGCATGCACTGGCCAGCGTCGGGGTCGGTTAAGCCACTCGAAAAGGCGGCGTTGGGCACGGGGTAGTCCGGTCGTCTGTGTACGCCCGCTGGGAGCGCGCGCGGGCCCGCGACTCACTGCGGCGCGCGGACCCCCAGCTGGGCCACTCCGACCACCCACTCCAGTTGCGACTGGAAGGCTCGCGATTGGATTCGCAGCGCCTCCAAGAGCGGCAGCTGCCCCACTGGCCTCCACGACAGCCCGCGTCGCACGCGCCACCGTCGACCTAGGGCTGTCCCTGGGGGGGCGCGTTAGAAGGGGGGCGCTGCCACGCTGCCGGAGGGGGCGCCCGCGCCCCCGTCGCCAGCCGCGCGAGAGGGGAAGCCCTCGTCGGACTCGGCCGCGGGCGAGGTCGGGCTGCAGTCGCGTGAGCCTGCTGGTGGACAGCGGGCGGCGCCCTTAGCTGGCGGAGGCGGGGCGGAGCTGGGGGTCGGGGCCAGCTCGACGACAGTCAGCTTCCTGATCGCACGGAGAACGGGGGCGGGCGGGGCCTCGGGAGCTTCGGCAGAAGGTATCGGAGGCAGCATCGCTGGGAACCGCTGGGGCGGCACTGCCGCCCGCGGGGGAGCTCCTTGATGCACCGCCACTGCGGGGAGATGACTCAAAGGCTCGAGACATTACGCTGTCGGCTGGGCGCGCTGTGCTCGGGCCCCTCCGCGCCGCTCGGCGCTCCCCTTGGGGGGGCGGGCTGGGCTCGGCGGAACGCGCCTGGCTGCGCCCGCGCGGCGCGCACACCGTGGGGGGGCACACCGAGGGGGCCCAGTCGGGCACGTCAGAGGCGCGGCCAGTGAGCGAGCGAAACTCAGCGCGGGGGGGCCGACCGGCTAACCGAAGCCATCCTTCATTTTCGCTGCGCTCCATGGTTGGTGCGGTACCCAGCTGGCTGCATAGTTCTCGGGTCTCTGCATAGGGGCAAGGACAGGGCGCCCCTGTGGCGAGTAGGTCGGGGCCCACCTGGGTGAGAAAGCCAAGTAGAGACTCCAGCGCGTGCCGAAGGGGGGGACATCCGCGCAGCGGGCTGGTGTCGCTGGCGCGCTGGGCCCAAGCGAGGCGCAACTGGGCGCCCTGAGAGCCGACGCCCAGGCGTGCAACGATACGCGCGGCAGCGAGCCGCTTGCCGTTCCAGGTGCGGTCGGGGGCCCTGTCGCCGTAGACCCGCTTCAGGAAGGGGAGGAACGCCTGGGGCCCCCAGCTGTCTGGGGAGCCAGCGCACCGGATGCCCCTGCCGCGCTGGTTCACGAACTCCTTCCAGAGGTCGCCCAAGGCTGGGTCGAGGTCCCGCACACACTCGACCAGCACTGCCTCTATGGGCCCCGATGCATTGCGTTTCTGCTTTGTCCCAACGGCAGCCTTTAAGTGCTCTATGTCGTAGCATGCATGCGCTGGGCCGGCGGGCAGGACTGCTTCGGGGGGGAGCTGGCGGATCTGCGGCGCGGAGCGGAGGGGTGGGGGGCGGCCGCGCAGGTCGAGTGCTGGCGGGTATACATGAAGCGTCAAGGATACTCTATAGTGCACAGTAAGTGCGTACTGCCATATGGTGCGTCATATGTTATATGATGTGGTACAAACGCGATAAGTAGCACCACGCGACACCGCATGGGCAATACTAAGTAAGGTGCCATGTGAAGCAGGAGATGATGCATCGTGGGTAATAACATACGACCATGAGTGGTATGAACTGATACGCAGCAGGTCGTGGCACATGGCACGCCACCGGTATATGATGCATATATATAACATATATATATATATGTCTATGTATACATATATATATATATAACAGCACAATGGGTTCCTCATCGGACCCTACATGAAAGGCACCTCATTGGACACCACTAGGACTCCTACTGGATGCCAAAAGGAATTCCCCCTGTTGGGATCCTACTGGGTTCCCTGCGGGCTCGGGCAGAATTTCAAGTGGATCCCAGCGGGGAGGCCGCCAAAAAAAATCATTCCAATCGGATTCCGATGGGGTTCCCAGTGGGTACCAGCTGCATCCCCATAGGCTCCTCAGTGGATTCGAATGGACAGGCCTCCTATTGGAGACCAATCGGCTTCCTATTGGATGCCATTAGGAAGGCCTCCTGTTGGAACTCAATAATCACATTTGAATGTCGTCGGGGCGCTTCCGATGGGATTTCTATCGGCTTCCTTTCAGACCCCCAGATGGTTCTTTTTGGAATCAAATAAACCTCTTTTACAAACGAAAAAAGCATCGCGGCATTGCACGGCCCACCAGGGTTTCGCAAGGCCCACTAAGGCTCAGCAGGGCTTTATAGTTGAGAAGTGCCAAGCAAGAGCTTCGCAAGGCATTCCAAGGCCTACCAGGGCATAGAAGGGCAGGACTAACCAGGGCATACCAATGTTTAGTAAGGTTTGGCAAGGCTCTGCAAGGTTTAACACGTCCGAGCAAGGCTTAGCAGAACTATCTGAACGTAAAAAGGCTTACTAGAGCCTACCAGGGCTTCGCAGGGCCGCGCAAAGGTTCGCAGGGCTCCCGGGGCCTCGGCAGTGCGTAGCAGGACTGAGCAGAGCAGGGTTTCAATATGCTCAGCAGGGTGTGCCAGGGCACTGCTGGGCTTAGCAAAGTTTAACTACGTTTATGAGAGCGGAGCAGGGCTTAGCACGGACCACCTGGGCTCAGCAGGGCGTAGCAGGGCTTAGCAGTGCGCAGCGCGTCTCCTTCGGCGAGAACCGCGGACGGCCTGGGGGCGCTGCGAAGCACCCTGCGCCGCGCCTTGACGATGTCCTTGAACATGGGAGCGCTGCACGCCATGCTGTCGCCCGCGGAGCTGACACTGGACATCTGGTTACAAGGCGCCCGCGGTCTGATGGCGCTGGCGAAGGCGCTGCGCGCGCCAATCACCTTCGAAGTCAGCGTGGAAGCGACCATGAGCCCGACGGCCGCGTCAACGGCCGCGCGGCCCTCCAGGGGCGCGCGCCTCGGCGCGCGCCTCGGCGCCGGCCTTCAGATCCCCAGCGCAGATCTTCGTGCCCATGACGACGGCCTTGCCAGCGGCGTTGAGAGCCTGCTTCGCGGCGACCCCTGGGGGCGGCAGGGAGCACAGGTCCGACTTCCAGCCGACCCTCTTCGGAAAAGGGCACGAGGCCTCGGACAGCCATTTCCAAGCGGCGCCGACCGCGCCCCCCTTGGCCACGATCGAGCCGAGCTGGTCTGGCCAGCCTTGACGACATCCTTGAACTCGAACAACCTGGCGCACGCCGGGTCGGCCGCGGAATCCTTGGCCTTGGGCGTGGCTTCATGGGGGGGTCATAAATGGGGGGGTCAGAAACGGTCCCCTTTCGTGCCCCTTTCGAGCCCCTCCGGACCCCCAGGGGGCTCGTTTAGGTACCGTTTGGGTACCTTTTCGGACCACCCTCGCCACCCCCCCATTTATGACCCCTCCATTACGCAACGCCCACTGGCCATGGACTTTAGGCACGCCGGCCCGGCAATGGCGGCGACGGCGTTGCACACATCCGTTACGGTCTCCTCGGGCACCGACCCGATCACGCGGCCGAGCGAGGCGTTCACCTCGCCCCGGGCCTCGCGCGAGGCCGCGTCACTCTCGCTGGCGCCGACGCCGAGGATGCCTTCGCGGTGGGCCTCACGGGGCCGTCTTGAGCAGCACGGCTTCGGCCTCCGCACCCATCGCGGTCATCTTGTCGACGAACTTCGTCGCCCCGTCTGCCTGGAACGACCCAGGGGGCCTCAGGCACCAGGGGGTTGTACCAGTCCACGGCTGGAGAAGGAGGAGGAGGAGGAGGAGGAGGAAGAGGAGGAGGAGGGGGAGGAGGAGGGGGAGGAGGAGGAGGAGGGAGGAGAAGGAGGCGGAGGAGGAGGAGGAGGAGGAGGAGGAGGACTTGGCGAGGTCGTAGGAGGCGTCGCCGGGTTTCTTCGGCGCATCGCCGATGGGGTCCGCGAGCGCCGCGGCCAGTGCGGGGCTAGCCACGGCGGCCGCAGCGGTGGCGGCGGGGGCGCGGACAGGGTTGAGCACGAACGCTTACTGGCGCAGGAGCTGCGTGCCCTCGAGCGCGGCGGCGGCGGCCGCGATCGTCCTGCCGGAGCGGCCCATGGCGAGAGCTTTCGGATGTCCTTAACGAGGCAAGCCGCGCTGAGCTGGAGCTGCCGAGCCAAAACCATTTGAGCCGAAAGGGCCCCAGGAGTGGCCGGGTCATATCAACACAAGAATACGACACAGGTAGGATGGCAGCATATAGGCGATGTGTACGACGAACCATAGGTGCTCGCAAGGTAGTAGCAGCATCAAGTCTCACACGATAGGAAGACGGAAGCGCATGCATGTTCTACATGAATCCGTTTCGAATCAAGTAGCTGTGTTTTGCTGCACTGAAAAGTTGCCCACGGGGGGGGGAGTTGCCCTCCAACTGGATTCCGATCTGGGTCCGATCCAGATCTTTTTGGGTCACAAGTGGAATCATGTGGGCTAGGAATCAGATTTGAGCCCTGGGAACCCCTGCTGAGATTTTGGTGAGCGGAGGAGGAGAAGGGGAGGGTGGCGGGGGCGAGATATAATTTTCCGGGCGGGGAAACGATTGAATTTCCCCCGAAAATACAGGAAGGCAACGACTGCTTCTCCAGGTTGCTGACCCCTGGCACGCTCAATGCAGCGGCCCGCTGACCCCTGGCTCGCTCAATGCAGCAGCCCGCGGGAAATGTCAGCGCCCAGAGAGAGAGAGGGAGAGGGAGAAAGAGAGAGAGAGAGGGAGGAAAAACACAACAAAAAACAAAAGAACCAAAAAAACTGGCGAAGGCCCACCCATATGCAATTGTGGATATCATCGCTGTATGCACCGCTTTCGGCGGAGCTCCTTACGGGCCACGAAACGTGTGAGGGGTGTGCCAAAATGGGCACGGTGGGCGCATGCGAGCGCTGGCATGTGGGCCTTCGGTGGGGTTCCCCATGGGGGCCACGAAGCGTGTGATGGGGTGTGCCACAGTTGGCGCGGCAGGCGAATGCGAGCGCTGGTATGCCCTTTCGAGGGTGTGCCAGAGTGGGCGCGGTGGGCGCATGCGAGCGCTGGCATCTGGGCCTTCGGTGGAGCTCCCGGGCCCTATGGGGCCATGAAACGTGTGACGGGTGTGCCAAAAAATGGGTGCGGTGGGCGCGCGCGAACGCTGGCATCTGGGCCTTGTGTGGAGCTCCTTATGGGGCCGCATAACGTGTGAGGGATGTGCCAAAATTGGCGCGGCGGGCGCATGCGAGCGCTGGCATCGGGGCCTTCGGTGGAGCTCCTTCCAGGGCCACGAAACGTGTGAGGAGTGTGCCACAGTGGGTGTGGTGTGCGCATGCGAGCGCTGGCATCTGGGGCTTCGGTGGGGCGCCCTATGGGGCCAAAAAGCGTGTGAGGAATGTGCCGAAATGGGAGCGGTGGGCGCATGCGGGCGCTGGCAGTTGGACTGTCGGCTGAACTCCCTATGGGGCAACGAAACGCGTGAGGGGCGTGCCAAAATCGGTGCGGCGGGCGCATGCGAGCGCTGGCGTGTGGGCCTTCGGTGGAGCGCCCTATGGGGCCTCAAAACGTGCGCAGGGTGTGCCACAATGGGAGCTGTGGGCGCATGCGAGCGCTGGGATTTGGGCCTGAAGTGGAGCTCCCTATGGGGCCACGTAGCGTGCGAGGGGTGTGCCAGAATTGGTGCAGTGGACTCATGCGAGCGCTGGCATCTGGGCCTTCGACGGGGTTCCCTATGGGGCCACGTAACGAGTGAGGGGGGTGCCAGGGTGGGCGCGGTGGGCGCATGCGAGCGCAGGCATGTGGTCCTTCAGTGGAGCTCCCTACGGGGCCACGAAATGCAAGAATGGGCGCGGTGGGCGCATGCGAACGCTGGCATTTGGGCCTTCGGCGGAGCTGCCTATGGGGCCACGGAACGTGTGAGGAGTGTGCCAATGTGAGGGGGGTGACTGGAGGAGGAGGAGGAGGAGGAGCAGGAGGAGGAGGAGGAGGAGCAGGAGTAGGAGAGGAGAGGAGGAGTCGCGGGGTTCTCTCTTCAAAACGAGGACCAGGACCCGACAGTTCGGGATGTGGAACCAAAAATATAGCGAGAAACGGCCAAACAAACCACCAGCCAAACGATCCGGCCGTTGACACGTGTACACAGGCAGACAGCCCCAAAAAAAAACTGCGCCCCGCGCAGGAGGGGCGACGAGACAGAAGACCCGAGAGATACACCAAAAGGGAAGAGGTGAAGGCCCATGCAACTCTGACAGCCTGGGGAGGCGCCACGCGGGGCCTCGCCCTCCCCCCCCCCCGCCCCGCCCCCCTCGCCCGCCCTCCCCTCCCGCGCACACTTCTGCGTCGGCGGCCAGGCAGAGCCACTGCGCTGGCGAGGAAGCGAAACGGGGCTGCCGTTCGGCGAGTTGTGCCACGAGCCCCCCCCCCCCCACCCACCCACACACGTACCCCCTCCACCCACCTACGCAGAAACAATGCTTGGCGTCGCGGCCACGCGCGCGGCGGCGAGGCGTAGATCTCGAGGTCGGAAAGGGGGTGTGGCAGAGATGGGTGTGGTGCCAACCCCGGGAATGGCGATGTGATCGACGACAAATAACATCGCGAGATCCAGCAGTGGCACCACACCCTTTTACACCACACCCGTTTCTTACCTCCAGAGTAGGACAGGTCGAGCAAGCGCGCGCGCCACCACCACCCACGCTTATGTGATTCACATCGTACTTAAGCACCACACCCGAGCACGAATTTCGAGCACCCAGGATAATATCGAAACAGTGTATGCCCGACACGCTAGCTAAGTGTCGAACTCGACGGACTATTGCCTCCCCGAGCCCGACACGTACAAACCCGACTTCTTTTTGCGTGATCAACACAAAAATAGGTCGGAACATCACTACCCCACGCACACGTCCCCTGCCCCATCCCACGAAGCCCCCCCAGCACAACCCGAAGTCGCCGTTGGGCCTGCAAACTTCCAGTGGGGGGACGCTCTGGAGCATGGAGAACACGGTAGAACCCGCACGCCCCCCGAACTGAGATTGCGGGGCGGGGTCTGGGACCTTCGATTCCCCGGCCCCATCTCTTGAGCAGGTACCGAGCGTCCCGGCATTCCTGTAGGCCTACCACGATCCAAAGATGTTCTAATAACATAGACAATGTTCTAAGAACGCAAGCCCTGTGCGCTAAAACAAGACAGCCTCAGCAAAAAATGTTATGATAACCTTTCGTGCAGACCATTGAGGAAAATATAACATGTTTTGGTTGGCCTCTAGGCAAGCGCGGACGCTTCGCTACTGCGCGGTCCCCCCCCGTGAGCCCCAATCGGGGATCTTCTGACCCGGGTCAATCCAGACCCAGGTCAGTCAGGCCTTGCAGGATCCTGCAAAATCCTGCAAGGTCCTGCAGGATCCTGACCCAAACCCGGGTCAATGCGACCCTGGCCCTGCAGGATCCTGCAAGATCGGGCGCTCTGGCTGACTCAAATTTGCATCGACCCCCGCCTCTCGAGCCCCGTCCCGGCCCCGCCGAGGCGCCGGGCCTGGGTCCTCGACCAGCGGCGCCGCTTCGGCCATCCGCGGTCGCGCCCGGCCTATGCCCGCCGCCGCTGCCGCCAGGCCTTTGCCCAGGAGGCCCTGGGCAGAGATGGCTGCAGCGCGGGGGGAGGAGGCGGAAAAGGAGGAGGAGGAGGAGGAGGAGGCAGAGGAGGAGGAGGAGGAGGAGGAGGAGGAGGAGGAGAGGAGGAGGAGGAGGGGGAGGAGGCGGAGGAGGAGGAGTGAGGATGGGGATGGGGGAGAAGGAGGAGGAGGAGGAAAAGGAGGAGGAACAGGAGGAGAAGGAGGGAGGAGGAAGAGGAGAACAAAGAGGAGGAGGCGGAGGAGGAGGAGGAGGAGGAGGAGGGGAGGAGGGGGAGGGGGGGAGGAGGCGGAGGAGGAAGAGGAGACTAACGCCACAAGCCCGTGCTTCAGGTCCGAACAACGTCAAAAAGGAGGAGGAGGTGGAGGAGGAGGAGGAGGAGGAGGAGGAAGAAGAGGAGGAGAAAAGGAGGAGGAGGGAGCGGGGGAAGGACGAGGCAGAACACCAGCAGCATGAGAGGCGGGAGCAAGAGCAGCGGCGGAGGCAGAATCGGCGGAGGCGGCGGCAGGAAACGGGAGCCGGCGGGGCGGCAGCAGGGGCAGCAGGAGCACAACGGCAGCAGGAGCAACGGGAGCAATCGCAGGAAACGCAGCGGCAGCGGCGCAGTGCTGTGGGCACCACCTTCAGGATATATGTGTCGCACGAGCAACAACCGCAACAGCAACAGCAACGGCAACAGCAACAGCAACAGCAACAGCAACAGCAACAACAACAACAACAACAACAACAACAACAACAACAACAGCAACAGCAACAGCAACAGCAACAGCAACAACAACAGCAACAACAACAGCAACCACAACGACAACAACAACAGCAACAGCAACAGCAGCAGCAGCAAGAGCAGCAGCAACAACAACAACAACAACAACAACAACAATTACTAGCACGTGGGGACACTCCGTTCTCACCAGTGCCAGGGTTTTCATAGGAGGCGGGCAATACCCCCACTTTGTGGGGGGGCCGGTTCAAGCTCTACCAAATTTCCAAAGACTCTTCGCCACCACCCACACCCAGCTTCCCGCCCTATGACGTTCGGACACTTCACTTCGTGGCATGCGGACGACCGTGGCTACTATTCTGGGCCCCGCGGCCGACGACGACGGCGTGCGCGCGCGAAGAAAAAACGAATGTGTCCCGCATGGTATTATTTGACAGGGATGATGGCCCTGGCAGGTGCGCAACCGTTGTTGCAGAAGTTCGAAAAAGTTGCTCGCAAAAGCCCGCTTGACAGAAATATTTAAAAAGTGTTGGGTTTCCTACGAATCCGC